TCACGTATGCGAGCGATTCACTTGAATTCATTCATTGTAAATTGTTAAAAGTAAATGATCTTGTCAAATACCTTTGTTTTGGGAGAGGTGCGATCGTTCTTTTACTCGTTTTCCTCTATCCGCTCTGCTCTTCTTTTTCGTTATTTACTCTTTCCCTCCTCCTTTCCCTTTCTTCTCTCCATCCAAACAAGTAATGGGCTTATCGGGTAAATTAAAAAGGCATTTAAAAGAGAAACAGTTGCACAGTAATATAATTTAAATGGGAACAGCTATCTTGGCTGCGGAGAGTATTTTGTGAACAATGCCTCGATGATGAAACTGTAATGAAATTTTGTTTGCCGAAAGACATAAGACTAGACAAACTCTTTTCTTATCTAAAGTATATTTTCGGATGAAGCTCATCTTTGAAAACCCTAAAAAGCTTGAGCTTGTCTAGAAATTGGCATTAGAATCGTTTAAGGAGGCCTTACCCATTCCATGTGACCACAAAAACCACATTTCATCAAATACAATGGACATAAAATCCTTTATCTGCCCAAACTCCAACCCCAAATTTATCTCTGCTCTAAATGGCATGCATTACAGGGCTCCGATATCTAGTGGATCTCGAACTGCTGCTGAGCCCATTTCATAATAAATAAGCTTTGGGTGTCTAGGACTGATAAATCTGCTGAAGGTGCATGAATTTAAGCGCGGAGAATAACCACCAGATTAACCACCAAATGACACATGAAATGATGGATTAACCACCGGATGACACATGATACAGAAGACATTCTGAATATGGAAGTTAGGGGAAGGAAATCTGAAATACAAACTAAATCTATATTAATGGGACCCCCCATAACCACTGGATGGATGGATGGATGGATGGATGGACCAGACCCCCCATAACCACTGGATGGATGGACAGACGGATGGCTGGATGGATAGATGGACGGATGGATGGACGGACGGGCGATGGGTGGATGGACGGATGGATGGATGATGGGTGGACAGACAGATGGCTGGATGGATGGATGATGGGTGGACAATGGATGATAGATGGATCGATTGATGAAAGAATGCAAGGAATTTGATAATCATACAGTAATTCATACTACTAGTTAGACAGCAATATTCAATGACAGGTCTTTAAGTTGTCATCTGAACTTAACGATACACCCATACTGAAGACAGCTGTAGCTTTGAATCCACTTCTAAGTGTCACAAGTAGAGCACATGAGCTTTGGGCATTAGCACAGAGACACCTCGCCACCCCGTCATGAAAGGTTTGCTCGATTTATGTTCACACATCTTGGAGAGGAACTGTCGCCTTTGCAAGCTCTGTCTCACGGTAGCAGAACCATAATCTGAAAAGCTGAATTTACATACTAAAATTAGACAGAAATGTTCTTCAATGTGTCCTGACATTCTAAAACAGCCCGTCACTAACTAGCCCTACTTGACATACCACGTCACACATGAAGACCACCCACCAACTCGTCCCAATATTACCACTTACCAGAGGTGGATAGTTCAGGCCCAGAAAGTAAAAATCCAGACCAAGATTTTGTTTCAACCAACCAGTTGAGTACTCCGGTCTGGATTTTTTACTTTCTGGACCTGAGCTATCCACCTCTACCACTTATTACCTGCTCTCGTAATTTTAAGTACGGTACAAACATTGAAAGCACCTTGTCCCCCCCCACCCCCACCCACCCCGTTTCTTGGAATGAGGTAATAAATCATCCCAGTTGTCCTGGGTTTGCTTATAACACTGTGTCACCCATATGAATCGCAATATAAACCCAATAAACATTTTAAATTACCAGACTTTCTTCTGGGTGGATGCGAATCCATATAGAGATGTAAGTATTTTTTCACAAGCAGGTGCTATAAGCAGAGCATAAAGCTCTCTCTTCTGACAGACCTTAGCAAATAAAGCCAAACTATTGTCATATACTCCATAATAAATTATAGCCTACCAATTTTTTCCCCCTCGCTGCTAGGATTCATGTACTGTAGTGTGGCTTCATCTTAAAAGTCAAGCTCTGTTGGTTGATTTATAATTTTCCTATAACTCTCTGCAGCTAATATATAGAGTTCATGCATTAACAGGCTGGTATTGTACAGCTGCCGATTTTATGAGTTCTTAAGTAATTGGAATAATCACAAAGACTGATGATATTTCGTAAAACCCGGTCAGCACAATTTTAATGGAATAAACAGAGAGTAGGCAGGTGAAATCGTGTTAAAAATGATTAATTTCAGCAATGCAAAAAGAATGCATAAGGAAGTTTTCTCTCATCCCGCTCGGCCAAGTTCAACGGGGTCAAACACGGAAGCAAGCATGCTGCACACCTTCATATATACACACACGTCAACATGTGCACATTCTGAGGCTATGTCTGAAATTACGTTTCCCCTGATCGCTCGCATCTAACTAGTGCCGACGTTACCGAAATCGAGTTTTTAAATAACGACTTCTGAGGACTGCAGCGATTTGCTGCTTAATCGTATGCTGGGTGTCGAAATATATTCGGGGGAGAGGGGGGATATTTTGGGAAAGATTAACACTGAATTGTCACGATTGAAAGGCTGTCCTTAAAGTCATGCTACCCCCACATTACATACAGTAAACATCAGACAGTCAGGGCTGCATTGTGACGGACGGAATGCTGGCAAATGGGCTCCCAGAACCTACAAACTGAGGTCACAGCCAAGCACCAGACCCAAATTTATGTTCCTATGACTGGCAAACACAAAATAAGAGGTATTTGAAATAAAAGTGAGTGGTATTTGAATATTTATGTTGTGAGAATGCTCTGTCTCAGGACTCTCGTAATTGGTTTAGTAACTTAGCAAAGTTAAAACGGATCTATCGGAATGGATTCTTTTTGTTCCACAGGACAGTTCCGATGTGTGTGGCCATGCCCTTTATAATTACTCTGCATGCCATGCTAACCTCTCAAACAGAAAGTCGTGGACAAGCAATGAGGGCTTAATTAAAGGTGGTATTGCTATTTATTTTCTTCGCTGACGTGACACTTGCCGTCTTCACACGGTTATAACAGCCGGCGAAACTGCGTTCACTTAAATAGCATCATAACCAGAAGCAGAGAATAATCCACATGGACAGGTGTGATAGAGAATCTACGCCCCGAGGCAAATCAATATGAAGCTCACGCATTACATTTAAAAATGACTATATGTTTATATTATTGACAAAGAGATAAAAATCTAATCCTAATTACTGCAATAAGTGCGACAAAATATGTGAAACTAAATATGTAGGCCCAGTTGTTGATAATAATAATAATAATCAACAATGTTCGTGTAATTTACACCCGAGGGGTACGGTATGGTAGCTATATGGTGAACAGCATAGGCGGTCGCCTAGGGCACCGACTTCCGAGGGGGCACCGACTTACCAGCCAGTTTCACTTTGCCCTGGAGACGGGCACCGGCACTCGATGATGCCCGGCTAGGTGGCCGCATTGGCGGGTATTACAGTTGCCTTTTGAGCTTACGGCACAGCTCAGACCGGGACCTGTCACATGCCAGACAGCCTCTCCGCACCTCTCATCCTCACTGACTGCTGTACAGCTTATATCAACACTGAAGTCGCCGAGTCTGCAGGACGTGTCCCCTTCAGAGGCTTTTGAACCCGGTTTCCGGTGCTCTCTCGCTTTATACAAGCGGGGGGGGAAAAAATTATGAACTTGGAAATTGGGTTGATAAGGTATCAGCTGGTTCAGTGCACGCACACGCTATTGAACTGTAACCGCGGATATATGCTGATCGCACAAAGTTAGCGGTGGGGTCATGATTAGATATGGCCAATTATTGGGTAAGTGAAGTAATTTGACGGAAGTATGGAGCCAAAATGGGAAAACACGACACTGTTAGCCAGAGTGTGCTCTGCTTTTGAACAGAGAGATTAAAGCACCCTTATGAGCGGCAGCAAACCAACACCCAGAGCCACGATAGCATGGTAAAACAGTCATTTTATCTGATTTGTAAATAATTCCTCCCAATTCCCCAACTGAAACACACGCCCCACTTAAACCTGCTTTCTGATACCATATGTCCGATGTTCACTAGCAAAGCGTATCGTTCTGTACCCTCAGTGGTAAAAATCGCAAAAGAAAAGGGAGCAGCTTTTTCATTCATTTCATCTTATTTTTACCTCCCTTTCTCTGTAAGCCTGGCAGGTGCTCTGTTTGCACTGGAGAGTTTCGGAGGAGAGAATTGCCCCGGAAAGAAGGAGGGTCGAGCATTTCCTAGATCGTCGCCTGCATGACTTTCCCATGGGTGAAAGTGGACGGGCTTAATTGCATTAAGAACTGGAGGATGACAGTCAGGGAGTCTTTCTGCATATCCCATCATGCTCTGCTCGGCATACACACACAGGGGTGAGAGTGTTAGGGTCTGAGGAGGGGGGAGGCCATATCTCCAGCGCCCCTGGGGAGTTTTTCGGGAATCTCCTAGGCGGATGCTTGATTAGTCCCAAGCTGTATTTATGCATCGGAATCCCTCTGCTGTCACTTCTGTGCTCCACCCACCAGACGGGAGCATTTTTCAAACTGCAACCCCCACCCCCCTCCCCCCAAATGCATCAAACGAACGACTGGGGCGTGTTATTGGAGATGAGTTATCGATTCGAGGGTCTGCACGTTGTGAATGAGGAAGTAGGACCCGGCACGAGGGGGAAGTATTCAGGAGGGAAATAGTGGCACAGTGCGTGTGGGCGTCACCCTTTTAATGGATTCCTGCACCCAGTATTTCTTCACGGTCGCAGAGCACGTCCCAAGGCACCAGTCAGCCAATGAAAATGAGTTTTTACAAGACAGCCAATCAGAGATTCATTGCAGACCTTCCCACTCCGCCCCCTCAACAGCTGTACCGAGGCATCCTGTGCAATTCATTATTCAATCTCGATAATGGCGTCGGTTTTAGCTGGACTAGGTGGTAGGGGGTGGGGGTCGGGGGGGTACAGATATGAACGTTACGCTTACCTTAAGCTGGATAACTGCTGGCATATCTTCTGCTACAGGCTTCCCTTCAGAGCTCGGCCATCCCTCTCCTGGCCACAGCAAGGCCGCTAGCAAGACTGTCCATAGCCCCGTCCAGGCCATTGGCATCGATCTGTCAGGGAGAACGGAGCGGGAGTGAAACGGCTGCCCCCCCCGACCGCATCGCAAAGAGCTCAGGCCAAACCACCACTGACGACGACCGGCCAGCAGCAAGCACCCAATTAAGCGGAGTGACTGGAGTTTTTGTAACACCCTGGTCAAACTGAGCATCCAGACAACGAAGTCGGGTTATTATGAGATATTTACAAATCTACTGTATCTACTAAAAGTAACACGACTCCACAGCTTTGTGGAATCAATTAAATGTGCTTCTGTTATCTGAGTCGAACATTTAATCAATAATATGAATTAGGATTGAGTATAACTTGACTTTATCTGTCATTCAGTTTTTGATGTTATGTTTGTTGTTCTATGTAATCAAGTGGCTGATAATATATAAATATAAATATATAAATTAATTTTTAAACAGAAACTAAATGACAGGGTCAGAATTCAAGAATCTAGAATCTAGACCTGCAACAACTTTCAGGCCTCAATATGTGATTTCCTATGCCTAGAATGTAAAATAATAATAATAATAATAATAATAACGTAATAGGGTGTAAAAATGAGCCATAATTAGTCCTGCGATTCATATGTAATTTTATTTTCTCAGTGAATTGTAAATGGGAAAAAAAGAGCCCAAAATCCAGGAAGTTGTTAACAGGCTGTAAACAGTTATACAGCGTTTGCCCAGAAATCTAGCGAAGAGCACAGGTGACAAGGCAATAAACAAGAAATAAGATGCACCTGTATTGCCTGATGTAGGTGTCAACACCTCCAGGGCTGGATATAGCACAGGAAACGGGCAAAATTTCAGGTTAATCACAGACACAGGATAGAGGGAGGAAAAACTGTAGGAAGGTTACAGTGAATTAAACAGCGCAGTCAAACATGCAACGATTTTGGTTCCTGTTCCCTTTTCCCTCTATTTGATACCTAAGGGGATATTGACCGTCTCCAAAAGCTCAATTTAATTTCAATCTGTTTCTTATTGATTATGGATATTGTCATTCTAGACTTTGTGAAAATCAAGTTTAAGGTCATTTGATGTGTTTCAGAGTATCTGTAGTGACAAGCATGCGACCATCCAGTTCCAGTCAGGTCTATGTACGGTCAACTGTCTGGTCCGTAGCCTGGTGCACACAATGTCTGGTTTGGATCCTGCTCCTCTTGTTTTGCTGCCCCATATTGCACGTCGCCATGGATTCACCGTCGTCCGGTGACTCCAGGAAGCACGCCGATGAGAACTGAGATATCTTTTGCTAAACGTGAACATATATCGAGCGGCCGGGACCTGATTTCCCAAGACTCTGCGTTAGCCGGCGTGACAAGTGCCACAAATTATACCAGCAGAAAAATGAAAATCGTTACCCCAAATTAACCCGCCTAATTTATGGGCAAAAACGTTATGCTAATTTAATCAAAGTCCCCAACCACTTGAGACGAAAGGCCCCATCCTCGCGGCCGGCACACGCACCCATACACTTTCGCTAACAGACTTAATAACTTTTAACACGGTTGCTGGCGGACCAACATCCCGTGTTGCGTTAACGAGGCCGTGACCAGTGCCGCGTTGCCGTCGGTTACTGTGCGCCCGTTGTGGATTCGACGAGAGAGAGGAAATGGAGCTGCCCGTCAGGGAGAGAGCGACTCGTATTTCACCCACTATCGCTCTGACACCAGGTTAACGGGATGAATTCTCCCCGAAGTTTTATACGACAAAACTACGTGGTAAATCTACAGCCTCCTGAAGTGTTTCGGGAGTTGTATGGCCAATGCCACCGGGGACCTAAGACGGCGAAGCGTTCTTTGTCCCGACACAGAGGAAGATGCACCCACGGACTCACAGCTGAGACGAAGGTGACGGGAAACCCGCGGAAACCTGGACTGCATTTGCATTTATTATTTTAGCAGACACTTTCATGCAAAGAAACTATGTTCAGCTCAGTGCAAACAAGGTCAGGAAGCACAGATATTAAAGATTTACTACATGTCTAAATTACATGCAGAGAAGTTGTTCTACGATACAAATACTCAACAATACAATACTGAGTCTAGAATTTCTCAAAATTTTATAAAATCACGTTAGTTAATATTTAGGTAGTGGAGCAGGAGCCTTCCAATGTTTCTGGACAAATGTGCAGCTTTTTTATTACTGAAAAGTGAACAAAAACCCAAAGCCCTGAGGTCAATAGCTCATTCCTGCTCCAAACGAACGACATCCTCAATGATCATCCGTACTTATCACAGCTGTGAGGAACATCATTTATTTACACTTTTTTTATAGGACACCTGGGTTTCATTTGGGCCAATTTTCTTTTCGTTCACCTACGTGAAGCTACTAGCTAGTTGCTCAATAAAGATAAGCGTAACAACTTTGACCTTTCTCGTCCTTTCGTTCGGAGAGTAAGGAGATTATTCGATGATGCTTTGTGGACAGGGCAAGGTCCCTGGACTGAAATGTACCACACGTCTAAAAAGCCGGCTTAGTTCTCAGTGCGCTGGTGTTTATATAGCCTGAAGCATGCTGGAACAAAGTCAGCACGGGGCAGATAAAGCCTTAAATTACACATATAGAGATCCTTGACATTTCCTGGCCGGCCTGAGCCACCATCCATGTTAATTAGCATCTGACTTTCTTTCTTAAATCCCTTTAGAAGAACGGCGCAATGGCCAGGTGGAGGTAAGACCTTGTGGTGCCCCTGCTGTCCTGCACGAGATGAAGGGAAGCCTTCTCTATATCACGGGCCAACCTACCTACGAACGAGTCAGAGTCATGATGACTGGGGGGCTCAGCCATTTGGGGGGCAAGATGGACGTAACATAACGCTCAGCCAAGGAAAACAGAAAATTACACATATACAGACGAGTGCTTGGATGATGAATGGATGAACAGATGGATGTATTTTTGCCTACTTTGTTTGTATATAGTATTTATATAATGTAAACAATGTGTGTATATATCCATTTAAGACCATTGTACTTATTAGTTTAAATTCAATTTTATCTGTATAGGGCATATTCACAACATTACATTGTTACATTGTCTCAAGCGCTTTTAAGCACTTTTTTACTTTTTAGCACAATGACCTCCAGTATACTTATATTAATTAATAAGGCTGTTTTTGGCTGTTTGACATGTGTATACATATTTCACCTGCACAAAAACACATATACATAGAGTTCTCTCACATCATTATACACAGCTGTAACTAACTGGATTTGTAGACCCAAAAATGTGAATGAGTCATCCTCATTAGCACTAAAACGCGTCCATGAGTCGCTCCCACCAATGTACAACCCCCTTTAGTTTACATATAAAAGTAAATAAAAAGCAACTGAAAATGATCAAACATGCACATGGAATAGACCACACCACTTTCAGCTAGGACGTTTGCACGGCTAAAACGGATTTCTTTGTTTAGAGACTCGTCTGAAGTGTAGATTCAGGACAGCAAGTCATATGTATCCCATAAGTAACAGCACCGTTGTCTAAATTAACACGTGACACATAGAGAAGCAAACGTAAATTCTGTGTGTTAATGTATAGTGTAAACCAGGCACGATATGTCAGTAGCAAGACATATATATTTGATTTATTTAATTTATTTGATACTTTATTATCATTTGAATTAAATAATGCTTTTATTATTTCCTAAATAAAATCTAAATTCACCAGTATTACAAGAGGACAAAATCCACAGCAATTGTCTATTTATTTGTTTTGTTTGTTTGTTTGTTTTGATTGGTATTTTTTAATTTTGTGTATTTTCTCAAGATATTCCAGATCATAAAAATTCTAATTATATATAAATTACCAAAACATCCTGCAGAATCTTTCACAATGTTTCTGCAAATGTATTTTGTAATGCACTCAGATGTTTTACATACAAAAAGATTTCAAATGTTTTTGCATATAATAAGATTTAAAGGCTATATTAGTAGCCTGCATGGTGTAACCCTGTCACCTTTTACTTTGAATCCTTAAATAATGCACTGTAACACATTTGCTAATGGTGCTTTAATGAGTATTGTGCTAGAGACATGAACATCAGTCAAGCATTACCACTGGACGATCTGCATCGATGCAGTGGGTCTTCAATCGCCTGCCGTGGATTATAAAACTGCACCGAGGATATTCTGACTATACTGCATTACTGCCCGTACTACGCCATTTCCAACTTGAGTGCCTAAACATCCGACATATATCGCAAACATGAGCATAATACAATGTCTAAGCAACGTTTACCGATATATCGTGAATGTATCTATATACGTCTCTATCCAGTCTATTTGCTTACTTGGGTTTCCAACGTACTGGGAATTCACATGTTGCGTATTCAAACTACTGGATTTCAGCACCACGCTTGTGGACAGCTCCGTCTGCAGCGTAATAAGGATGCACGTCTTTTGTAAACTTTGTTTAATCCACAAAGAAAGAAATTGTTTAATTTTTAAGATCAAAATTCGGCGGGCATCACTGCTTTCAAAAATGCACAAAACAGAAGTTTTCGTGGATCGGGGGGTCTTTTCTTCTTGGCTATAAGCAGACGTGCGAGGCATTATTTAACAGGGCTGCTAGAGCGCTTTTCCAGCCGGGATGGGACGCACTTGTGATGCAGCCTATTTCCCGATCGCTAACTTCTCTAGCGAATTATTCTTTCAGTCTTTTGATTGCGACTGGTTAAGCCTCCAGTTTAACCGTCCCGTTTGGATGCGAAAAGTCAAACTACAAGAAGGATGAGCGCTTATTCAGATTTATTCAGCATCACTGACCAGCACTGGCCAAGCCATTTTAAGCAACTAAGCCTTAGTACAAGCGAAACACAAATTGCTTTTGTCTCGCGATTAATACACGCAATTCCCTCTTAAAGTTGCACCCCAACACGTATAAAATTGTTATAAAGTAGGATTTTTGTGTCAATACGTGTCACGTTGCCAAGTCACACAGCTCTGAGCAATTATGCTCGAAATCGGAATTACCGACAATAAACAAACTAAAGGCATCTCTTAAAGCAGAAAAAGGGAAGAAACCACCGCGTGTATTTACGTGATGTGCTTAATGATGAATGAAGATTCATTATGCCTGTTTTTTATATAATAGCTCCTGTATGTGCTTCCACTAAATGTACAATGTCAAACAGATTTTTCAGTTAATCGTAAAAACGAAATGAATACATAATAATTACAAATTTAAAAAAAACTTGAAAAGGAACCTTTTTAGGAATTCAGTTTTCTGTCACTAATAATATGTATGTGCACAAACAATACCATGCCTGCTTATCATTTGTAAGTGCTCCGTACCTGTCGTACTCCGCTGGCGAAGAAACGTGAGACCGCCGGTACCCAGATGAGTCGCAGAGGTATTCGGACTGGATTCGGTCTGGATGCGAAGCGGCCGCCTTACTTCCACGTTTGCCGATCACTTCTCGTGATTTAAACCTGGGCTCCGGCAACAGGGACGTGCTTCAGCGTTCAGACTCTCGGCTGCGGCACCCCATCCTCGCGCGTCTGCCCCCCACTCCGCTCCGGCTTGTCCTATTTCAGCGGCTCCAGACTACACTCCTCCTGACGTCACACGCTGCATTACTAACATATCTGCATATTCCAGTCCCAAACTGACACCTGTGCCTATTTCCGCGCGCTCCGTTTCCCCAGACAATGAAATTCATAAATAAATAATCGCAATGTCAATAACTACTACATGTAAATAAGCTAAACAAATACTAGGTTTATAAAACCCTTGTGCAAAGCTTGTCTCAGGTTTAATGGTTTGAATATTCTGTTAGTTTTTTTTCCCCCGAAGAATAAGATATTATGCATAAAACGTCCAATACGCATAACTAACGACCAGTTTCTAAGGTAAATTAGTAACTAACCTAGTATTGACGAGATCCAGCCAGTGGCATACAGAAACCTTCTTAATATTCTGTTTTACACCAGAGGAAAGGCCTGAAGATCAGAAGGGTGGCCGCTAAAATATACCAGACGTATATTTCAAATGAACCTCTGCCTCCCTTTTCAATAAATTACTTTTCCAAAGCAATTAACATTATATGTGGACAGAGGCCAGATACACCCGTCAAATCAATTTCAGAGCAGCTGCCGAAGCGCACATGCCAGTCCGGAAGCTGAAGGGAAAATTCTACTGCGTCTGACATTTTAAGCAGCAGCACAGAGCGGCATCCCCCATCATCTCACTTACGCTTACTCACACTCATCTACCTTAATCAATGATATGTTATTCCCTAATTTTACTTGCAAAGTTTTTATATATTTTAAAATGATTTGAATCATTCACTTTAAAGAGCTCCGTGGCGCTTAGGCACGCGCCAGTACGAAATTAGCGAATCTGAGTGTCAGGGCAGAAGGAAATATGACTGGTTCAAAGATAACAACTAACAATTAGCGACTAGAGGAGGTGGAGAGATAGACATCTGAGTGGTTCTACCCAGCTCCTCTATAATCTGATTGGTTATCTCTCTGAACCAGTCATGTTTCCTTCTGCCCTCAGAACATATTTGTGTAAGTAAAACTCCCATGAGCAAACAAAACAGATGGGTATGGTCAATCAGTCAATCAATCCAAAACCCATTTGTCACATGCACAGTTTTACTCAGTATAACGTGCCGTGAAATGCACGGTTTGCCTAACCCCAAAACTCAGAAACCGGGGACAGAAGTATGAAAAGAAAAGCCGTTAGACATTATATATCAAACAATTATGAGAAAAGAGAACAAGAGGACTTAATCGGCACTGCGCCCCCATTGCTTCCATTCGACCGCTGCCACCGGTGTCTCGTACGGCGGGACAGAGAGGCGCGGTTACAGGAGGCCCCGAGTAATCACAGCCGACGGCTAAACCCACACGGGGCGAGAGGACCCTGCAGCGCGGAGCGAGCTTTCGTAGCGGAGTGTCCCCAGCGGCTCTGCGGGGGGCTTATTTAGTGCTTAGAGTCGTAGCCTACAGCGTGATAAAACCACATAATGAAAAACACAAGATATCCAAAATAATACTCCCCCAAAATAAATTGCGTAAAAGTGAGATAATGGTAGTTATCATGCACTAAGCCATTTCTACCGCCTTCTACTCTTCTTGTAAAACCAACGACGGATGCGTAGGCAGAGTATGGTTTGGACATGGGGGGCAAAAAAAAAACCGCATCTTGCTTACCCTTTGTGTTAACACACATATCTGATGCATACAAAATGCATTATTTTGTCCACCTATAGGGTACCAACAAACCACTTATGCAAAGGTGTAGCATAGAACAAGGTTTTATAATTGCAATTTTATAATTGTGCTAGTTCCCCCTCCCCGCCCCAATACACCCCAAACTCCACCTACGGACAGATACAGGGAAAATGCCCGTTTCTTAACTTTCTGTCTCATTTCCCGCAGCTTTCTCTATATTTGGGCAGGAATCACAACAAAGGAGCCATGATTTATTTGGAATGTTGTTTATGATTTGAAAAAGTTCTGCCTTCAAACCTGATTATCGTTCAAAACTGAAACTCATTTTGTTGTTTGAACCAGTGATCATTGAAGAAAAATGCTTTGAAGTGAAATTAAATGAAATTGCCCCAAAATGTGGCAGCCTTTCCTACACGTTCCACTAGTCTTGTGTGATACCTGTGATTTTATGTCCTAACAAAGCTTTTTAACGCCCTGTTTTCCTACATCGGTCCTGCGCCACAGAAACTTTCCAGTAAAAGTTTCGAACGTGCCCAAAGATTGTTCCACAACTTCCTATTTAATTCGAGATCCTTTTCGCTCCCTTGTACATTGTGTCTCGCAGAGACGGGGAAATAGATTCTTCGTGAAAACTTTTTGACTTCAGAGAGGTGATTATGAGGTGAGAAGTGAAAGATGCACTTGCTTCACAGTTCACAGCAGTAACAGCAAGGATTGTTTGGGGATAACAAGTACGAGAGCGGAAACACTGTCTCTCCTGATCAAGAGGGAATATAAGTGGCAATGCAAAGGGACGGAGATGATGTCTACCTGCCATCTTAGCAGTGAAGGCTTAGATACCAGAGAAGATCCTTGTTTACAGTATGTGGCATGTGCAGCAACTTTGATTCATTTCCCTTCAACGCATCAAAAAAATACAAAAGATTCAGCAAAAAGAAGAAAAAAAAACACAACGAGGTGCAGCTGCAACAGGAATCCATTTAGCCTTCGACGTGTTAAAAAATGCATCGGCGCTTTGACAGACATCAATGACTGTCATGCATCCAAGGGGCAAAGCAGCACTCAGGCGTAATGAAACCTGGACGGCTTGTTCCTTTCATTTCTTCTTTTGTTACCGCTTCCCCCCATGTGACACACACAGACGTGCCCATTGGTCCAGGCAGATGTCACTCCCACCGCAGATATTGACAGGGGCGTGCCGGATCTATTCATAAAGCCAACACCATCCCGTCCGTTTGCTATGCGCTGGACAGAAACAGTGTGGGCGCCCAAGAGAAGGTGATTCATCACGTCTTAATGGTGCAAATATGAATCGATCGGCAGGGACTTTAAAGATCCCAGCGAGCTTGTCTCTAGTGGCGAGTGCGTCTCAGTGTACGAAGCCAGCAGACGCGGTTAACTGGGCCTCATTTTTAGCTAGCTTTCCTCCCTTCTTTTGTCACCGTCACATGTGACACGAAGAGCACTAATATCACAGTCTTTGTTTCCCAAAAAGAAAACAGAAATCGCATATGATAAACCGTGATTTTTGTCGATTTGTCTCTGGGGAGATTTAATAAAAAAAAAAAACGGAACGACAAACAGGCCCTGCTTGTTTCAGGAACCTTTTATCTCACTGTGCCTCTCTGTCCCCCCC